GTCACATATGTGACGCATGTGTGTTGCTCTTGATTCGTCAACATTTGGCCTGCAATAGACCCTTTTCACATGACGTCACACAACCTCCGTTTTGGCTCGAAGCTGTGTATCCTTAGTTCCGGTGTACATAGTAAGTAACGATAAAGTTGTCTATTTCATATATATATATATATATATATGTGTGTGTAAAATGGACACATATATATCTATATATATCTATATAGAGACATATATATAGAAAGATTTATATATATATATATATATATATATATATATATATATAAAATATACACATATATATATATATAGAGACATATATATAGAAAGAGAGATTTATATATTTATATATATATATATATATATATATATATATATAAAAAATTCCCCTCTCACCCTCCGTGGGTGGTCTCTCTCTTTCATCCTCTGAGCTCGGGTCCTCTACCAGAGGCCTGGGAGCTTGAGGGTTCTGCGCAGTATCTTGGCTGTGCCTAGAACTGCACATTTCTGGACTGAGATGTCTGATGTTGTTCCTGGGATCTGTTTGAGCCACTGCTCCGGTTTGGGGCTGACTGCCCCGAGGGCCCCGATGACCACAGGCACCACTGTGGTCTTCACCTTCATGGCCTTCTCCAGTTCCTCTCTGAGGCCCTGGTATTTCTCCAGTTTCTCGTGCTCCTTTTTCCTGATGTTGTAGTCACTTGGTATTGCTACATCCACCACAACGGCTTTCCTCTGTTCTTTATCCACCACCACAATGTCCGGTTGGTTCGCCATTACCATCTTGTCTGTCTGTATCTGGAAGTATATATATATATATATATATATATATATATATATATATATATATATAGATAGATATATAGATATATATATATATATAGATATAATATTACNTTGATTACATGCTAGTGAGGACATTTCACCATGTAATCTAAGAATATAGGACAACTTGCACATCTAAAAGTTACAGGACTTTGGCCATTGAGGAATGCAGTTTGAGAACACTGTCTTAAGCATTTCCTTTTTGTGGAACAGCTGATCTGAGTGAATGACATCAGCTGTGCTGAAACAGTAGTATATTGAGGATGTAATACAATCATTTGATTTGGTTTTGGTGGAACAAAATCTGAAGGGCAGTGGGGCCTGATACCAGTAGACAATGTAAACAACTGGAATAACTTCTTAAGAGTGTAAGTTACTGATTGCTGCTCTGACTTAGAAAGAATATATGAACAAATTGTGCAGGAGTACCTAGTTTAATCATAATTTAATTTTGCAAATGGTGATTGTGGTTGTTTGGCTGCTGTTCCGTTTAAATTATGTTTAAAACTTTATTAAAGCATATGATACTTTTATTTTCTCTTGTTCAATATAGACTTTTTTTTCTCTAGATGCACACAACAATGAGGCCACAGAGATTAAAAATAAAACCGAAGGATGACGCAGCTCATTTTGTGAGTCTGAGTCAGGACAAAGAGGGTTTTGATGTGCGATATATAAACTCTTTGAAGGGTAAGTTGACAAGCCGTAGTTTTTAAATGAGATTTTTGTCACTGTGGGCTGAAACTGACATTTTATCTGGTCTAACAGGTCGAGGAGTATTTAGTACATGCCACTTTCAGACAGGAGCCTTATTGGAATATCGAGGCGATGTCATAAACAGAAAAGAGTATGAAAGACGGGTAAAAATCTATCATGATGCCATGAAGGTCTTCATGTTTGAGTTTCGTCATAATGGGAAAAAGTTGTGGTATGTAAATTTTAAAAATAAAGTTTTAATCCTTGAAATATTTAATGCCTTCTGTTGTTAGTTTTTAAAAACTTGAAATCATCCCAGAATTATATGGTCACTGTTTTATATCCTGTCATCCTTGGACATTTAGATGTTTCTTCTTGTTTCAGTGTTGATGCAGCGAGAGAGGATGGGTCTTTGGGAAGACTGGTTAATGATGACCATTTGAGCCCTAACAGCAAAATGAAGACAATAACAGTGAATGGAAAACCTCATCTCTGCCTTTTTGCAATTAAGGACATAAATCCAGGGG